TTAAATTGCAGCCGAGAGATCACAATCGTGTGATTTACATCTTATAGATACGAAAATGTGTTTCTATAGTTTCAACCTGTTAACTATCATTGATATTTTTTTTATTTTTGAATTAAGTAAAAACAAAATTTCAAAACGAAAGAAATGCAATATTTTTTTATGTATAAACGCTTCTCTTATTTCCCTCTTCTTTTACATCTTCCAAAAAGGAAGATGTACTTTTATAGAGAGTAAAACTTGGAAGATGATAAAATTGAATTACATGACATTAAACGAAAATTTACGATGGATGATACTGACGTTTTTTTAAAAAAAAGGAAGGTTTTATGCTGCATGGGAAACATCGAAAACTCAGATTTCGTTGTCACGCGCGTGTAACATGTACCATATTGTACCGAGAGCGTATCAGTTACATGGTCATACGTTTGCATCAGAGCATCATGAGATCAGGGACGACTCTAACCATTAGAAATTAGTATAGTTTCTGGGCTTAAACTTCTGTGCCGTTAGAGAATGTTTCTAATATTGCTTTAATATCACTTTATATTAAAATTCCGTTTCCTATGAAATAAAGTCACTAAGTATTTTAAATATGTTCCCCATCGGACGGAATAAATAAAAATTTTCCTACTAATTTAATATTTAGTCATGCCTGAATATTGCACAGTATCATTATGAGTAATATTTAGGTAATTGTTAATAAAAAAAAACTACTCAAGTCTTTGCTCAAACGACGCTTGTTAATCTGCATTCTAATCTCGTGCAAAAAAAAATCTGTGCCTTTTTATTTACATTTCGCGTGACACAAAGGCTCGTTGGCCACCTAAAGAATTAAAAACGAAAAGCGACATAACGACACGAGCTCGGTATGGACGATCCTGAGCGAGGCGGTGTGACAAGGGTGCGCGCTACGCTAACAGCAAGGGTTGGCGCGGATGTTGGCGGCCGCTCGCTCGCTTTCTCTCTCTCTCTCTCTCCGTGATGGTATAGGGGTGGTTTCGACGTTGAAGGATGGCACGTCGCTCTCCGCGAGACGCGCCGGGAATGCTTTGCCATGTACACGTACAACACGCGTTTAGACAGAAATGTAACTCGTGCTGCAAACGCGACGGTCGGGGCTCCGCTCCGTGCTGCATCCCCGACCGGACGATCATCCGCGTGGCTCGCGTATGGAATCGTTTTCGTACCGCGACGAGTAACGTTCGACGCGGACCGACATGTGTGTACACCTCCGCGATTTTATCGGATTTAACTATGAAACTACGTGATGCAACGTCAAAGCCGTGCTTTGTTCCGAAGCATTCTGCGTGAGCGAATTTTGTTGTAATTGAGAGAGCGCATATATATAACGCTGTCAGGATGTTAACGGTCTTTTTAAAGATGAATATAGTTTACTAAGCTGTCTGGCAAAATTTCAAAAATAATATAGCAAAATATAAAAAAAAAGATTCATTTCAATCTGTAACTCAAATCTCATATTTGTATAGATATTTCTTTCTTAATTAAATATGATATAAAAATTCAGAGGTTTATCTATTTCAATAGTATCTTTCAAACTTTTACCATTTTCGTTATAAAATATTTTTCATTTTTTTTATTTATATCGAGTTTAAATTTTCTACATGTTCAAGCATTTGTGTACTTTCTAATTACTATTTTATTGCATAAAAAGACACCGAAAAGTCCAATAAATAAGCAAAGCGGTCAATAATGATTCATTAATAAAGCTTTATTTTATAAACTTTTTATTACCGAATTACTGATCGTTTTAGTTATTAGCATACATAACTGGCATATTTTAGTGTTTTATTATGCAACTAAATAGTAATTAAAAATTCAAATCGTCAAATGCACAATAATTCGACAGATATTTGCTCGGGTTTTAAGATTAAATATTAATGATTTATCATAGCCCATCCATTCAAAGGTATATATTTGAATCTATGAAATATATTTTATTTATTAATACAATATTGTATCTTCTTAACTTAAACTGTACATATGTCATATAGATTTTATATTTGATACAATGCTTCTCACAGATTTATTATCTCATTTAAAATAAAAAGATTTTATCACTCATCGATGCGCAGCAGCGAAGTTATAACGTGAATCTGTTAAAAAAACATGACATTAGAATCGAAAATTAAAAATATTAAATTATTAAAAAAGAATTAAAAATAACTAACATTTTGAAAAACAATTATCATAAATACGAAATAATTATACAATTCTCGAGAAAAATCATTTTTTAAAACAAACTTTTCAAATATAAAATCTAATCAAATATAAAATCTGATATAAAAGACTAGAAGTTTAACACGCTGATATAAATATAATTCAGATAGCGAATGATAAATAAGAGATTATAAACTCACCTCATGATTGCTTCGTTGTCGCCTGATGCCACCCTAGGCCTCCTCCTCCTCCTCTCTTGTTCTTCTGTGCTGCTCGTTCGTGATACTCTCACAACACAACACTCGCGTAAAGACTGTTAATTACGATTTTCAAACGCAGGAATTATTCAATCGTGTACGAGCTGATAAGTAGGTTCTGATCGCGTCGAGCGTCTCTTAGTACTTGCGATGGCCACCGAGAAATAATGTGAAGCCACACGGAGCCTTCTCGCTATCGTTACGCGAATGATAACAGAGCAATTTGCGAAGCCTGCACGTCGTACATCACAAAAAGAAAACGAACGCCGAGCAGCGTCGCGCGGCGCTAGTCATTACGAAATATTTTATGCTTTCGTACAAGATAAAGATGCATGCTGTAATATATTCGAGCCATTCTCTGTATTTTGTATTGATTATTAATAAATCAGTATACTCTACACGCGGTATTGTATTACTTAAATCACGCGGATCGACGATCGTGCATTGCTTCGCTCCCGATTCGAAAATGCGAGAGGTAAATCACGTATATGAATTAAAAGATAAAATTTAAAGTGTTAAATTATATACTCTAGTGCAAGTATTGACGAAGTCATTAATATTGATCGTAAGTATTAATGAAACTTAGGTATAATTTGAAATTCTCGTTTCCGATAGCTCCGATTTCCAGTGCAAACTAAATATTCGCGTCGAGTCACCTAGCCAATTACTAATCGTTCGTAGTGAGAGAGGTTCATGGGACGCTTACCGGTAATTACTATCAGTAAGAAGTGATCGCGTTTGATGTCCCGAGAGATAATGCAACGATGGTTAGGGCTTTCTCGCGATCGTGTCTCGGAAGATAATGCGATATTGTGCGAAGAGGAACGCGCGCGCGCCGCGCCACTGCGTACCAGCTCTCTCCGGCGCGGCGTGCCGCTGCCGCGCGAATGACTTTGTGTTGTGAACGCGCGGCGCGCTCGACCTTGATACTCACTACGCCGCGCCCTGTAGCGGGTACAATATACACGGTGAAAGATTGTAATGTAAAATAGGAAAACGTAAGCGGTAAGCGAATTGGCAATCATAGGATTATTGAAAATGTGAGAGTATCTCTTTAATACTCTCAGTTAGCTTAATACTTGAACTACGTTTTTCCGAGTGCTATCTGAATTAAGACTGTGTGTTACAGCTAAATAAAATAAATTTTCCATTTCTTATGTTCCTGATGATTAAATTATTAAATACTTGCTGTCTACCGAAATGCACATATTTATTTATTTAAACTAGAAATCTCTCTCTCGAAGCTATAGGGATAAGAGAATTTTTTATTATGAGTATCTCATATCATTACGAATAATGTGATCATTTTTTAAATAATATTTCAACTTAAATATATATCATATCACATGTTCTGATTCTCTTTGCTTTTCTTCTCTAAATGAATTCTCGCGTATTTTATTTCAAAAACTCATTCGTGTTGCCTAAAATATATATTAATTTCCTTTTCCTTCATCATATGTATAATAAATTTATTATTTAAAATTTTTAATAAAACAAATTAACTAATTTTCAGCATGTTAATTAAGTTAAAATTTAATAAAATTAATAAATAATTAACTTTTATTAATAAAATTTTACCCTGAATTCTGACATTAATTATGAATCTAAAGTATGTGTGTGTCGGTGTATGAATTTAGCCATGTAAATGCAATTATAGACGCAAGTCTGAACGCAAACTACGCAATATCGTTAGTCTAATTATTATATCAATTCTAATTATTGTAATAATTTGAAAAAATTATTACATTTTTAAGATTTCAATTTTGATTAATCTTGAAAATATGTGAGTAATCTCCAGAATATCAAAGAACTGTTCGGTAGTTATTACAGGTCATGTATTAAAATGAATATCGAAAGCAATTAACATTTTCCTAAAGCCGTACTAACGTCTAGACATTTCAAAGGCCCATTAACGACGATGTTTTCAGAGCTTTGCGCGTCGCTTTCGCCGAAGAAACACACCGTAATCGCTACGCTAATCGACGTCTTAATTATTCTTCAATTATGCGCGACGGTGCGCTCTCCGTTGTCTGATGGTTTCTCTTGCCTCATCCTGCATAGTATTTTATGGTAAAGAGCCACTACGTCACGCAGATGTATCGGTAGATATATGCAAGGTATAATACAAGTAATTTGCAGTTACTACGCCCTTCGTGTAACGCGAAGCGGCGAAACAGCCGTTGTTTCCCAAAACAGCGAATGTCTCGGTTATCTCGTTAATTTTCTCCTTCTAATGTTCTAATGTTCGTAACGATCCAATTACGCTGAATAAATTACTCTCTTCTGACTGTTTCTTTTCTACCAAACTTCGCGTATCGCTGCAGTACGGAAAAGGAATGACTTCTCTTAAAATACTTTACGCGCGCGATTAAATGCGCGATAAATAATGTACCCCGCGAGTATATCACTTAAGTTAAACTGTATTAAAGTTGTGCAACGTTAGAAATTCCAACGTATCGTATAAACAATTACACATTTGTAAAAAAAATCGTAAGAAAAATATTTCCAGACGATAAAATATTCGTGAATTAAATATGATTTAAAAGAAAATTATTTATCGCTCACCTGTTCAACCCACAGGTTTGTCGTCATGATCTGATTCTTCAAGTTCTGTAACAAAAACCATTTTTTCAATAAGCAACTGTATACGCGTTTCTTAATTACAGTCTATTATAAAATAATTGTTTGTTTGCAATTACATTTTCTGTTTCTATAAATTTCATAACCCTGATTATAATTCAGTTTAACAAGTTTTTTACAATACATATTTTTTCATATCAATTTACAAAATCGATGCAATTAAGCTTTAATTTCAATTTAGTTTAAATTTATTTGTTTTGAGAAGGGATGGCATTGATAAGATTATGTAAAAAGTTGACAAACTTTTGGCGTTTTCTGGGAAATTTGTTTAACCTTCAAAAACAATTCTTACGGTCGTATTTGGCAAGCGTTTGGCAACGGGTCTCCTTCAATAGAAAATGTACGACACCCCTCGTCTCCTTTTTGCACCTGTCACCCGCAGCGCATTGTAATTTCCGGATTCAACGCCGCCCCTCGACTAATTGGACCTAGCTAGCAGTTCGGGCGCATAGATGGAACTCGGCACAGCCCGTAATTCAAGTTATGGACTGCTAGTATGCGATTTTGGACTTTCCGCTATTTCGTGAATCCCCGACGTACACAATTCAAACTGTACCACACGTGGAATCCATCCGCGCCTGCATCTGTTTGCATGTGCGCGCGCAAATCTAATCCTGATTGAATGCGAACGATGTGTGTGCCGTAGGCGAGTATACATCCTCAAATATTTCTGCGATATACATAATTTAAGTAATACAATCGCTATTGACTTTTATGGATACGCGATTATTAATTACCCACTAGTAAAACACAGTCAGTGTTGCTGTTCGATACCGTAATGATGATTACAATTATTAAATTATGATAACAACATTATTAATTTGAACAACATATTATTATCGTACAATCTGATATTTGGATATTGTGGAATTGAGATATAAACTTTCGGCCTGCGATTTATTTTCTTGCTTTAATGCAATATTATATATTGTTTTGTTCTCTCGTCGTCGTTTTAATTTTCGCGATAGTGCAAGCGCCACGAAAATTTATCCGTGGCCATGAATTTTCGTTGTCGAAACAATAAATATAGGTATATTCACGATGTTGGGAGCTTCCGTTGTGACATCAATGAGAAGGTGTCCGACAAGGTAATCATCGCAACATAGTCGCATCGAGGGCCGGTATTGAATGGATATTCACCCCGGTATGAATTATCCTCCGCGATAGGAAGGCGGATTCGCATTCATATGCAAATGTAATAATACCAATATAGCTAGCTTTGGTCCGCGCGTTTCGATGAATCGCGGATGTAAATGTAACGCAGACCGGATATATTATCGCGGCGTTAAACATTGATGTTGCTTCACGCGGAAAATTCGGTCTTTTATTTCTATATTTATGATGGCGTTATTAGAAATGTATTAAAAGACTAAATAAGACAATGAAACACTTTGCCTCGTCGCTGTTGCAATTTTTTAAAATGATATATATGTATGTTGCGAATTATAAATTTGAGAGCATTTTCTACAGTCATGGCTGAATCTTGGTGTCTAGTAATAATTCTATATAAATATTTAAATCCATTATTCAGCCATCTAATCAATAAACACGTATTGTATTTCACCAATGTGCTTCACTATAATTTTCCATAAATTTTACACTACAAAATTCACTGCTAACAAGGGTATTTGTTTTCCCGCTGAGGAGGAACGACGTTACTTTTTGTACAACGTTGTCCCTTCTTTTCTTTTGACACTTTGCGCAGATAACAAGGGACTGCTACTCCGCGTGAATCGATTGAATTTTCGCGAGATTATAGAGCTCGTCGGCGACACGCATTATCGCGATTATAGGGGCAAAGGCTAATTAATTCGTGCGTATCCGAATATACGCGCACGTGTGCTCGGCCCATTCGCTCGAAATTAATGTCATGTCGATTGTACAGCCGCGGAAAGCGGAAAACTCACGTGTCGGTTTGTACGAATTTCCGCGCCGATGCGAAAGCGACACTGTGCACTCGTCGATCTGAATAATCGATTTTGACGCGAAACAGCGCAACGACAACGGTGTACAATAATAGGTAATAATGATAACAATAGCAATAGTAAGCTCATGCTTCTTAGCGGTGTTAATAATATAATACCTATATACTAGTATTAATGTAACAGCATAACATTGACAAATCTAATATAACAGTACAGTGGCTCAATACACATTGACATCGTTACATTGTATTGCCAATCAATAATGATAACGTCACAGTTTGACTTATGATGTTACTAATTAACTAATTCCATCAATAATAATAATGCAATAACGCGGCAATTGTTCATTATCGAAGTTAGCTGATTATACCCCTTCACGTCGACCCAGCCGCGATCGTGAACGATTCGAAAAGTAGCGGAGTAACTCCTAACGGCATCGATACCACGACGTACTGCCAATTGCGGGCGGGGCGAAAGGTAATTAGCAAATTACTTTATGTGTAATTAAACTCTGATTGCGGTGGCGAGTGGACGCGCCGCTGTGGACGATCGAGCGAGCGCTACGCGCGCGCGACCATTAGCGCGTGAGCGAGCAATATGTTAATTGATTTGAGCATACGAGCGACGGGTTCCGGTACGTAGGTGGATATTAGACTGGCGCTGCCCATGTGGATCGTAAATTGAAAATTCCTGTCGAGTTCCCGCGTTTCAACGCAAGAATATTTCGCCAACTGATCGTTTCTAATTAATTCATGCGCTGCTGTACGGCACGTCGTGTTGAGGGTCGGTTAGTTAGTTCAGGAAGGGATGGATTGCTTCTATTTTTTTTTTTTTTTAGCAATCACGGCAACAAAGAAGATGATAATAATGGTGCAAAAGGCAATCGACTCTCGAGAGTTGAAAAACAAAGATTGGATAAATAGTTTGTGAATTAATGTTAAATTAATTATTTATTAAGTAACATTAAATAACGTTTTAAATAACGTTATCATATCTATATTATTTCGATGTGTCATATATTCAAAACGTAATTTTCCAAAAGCTTTGCATGTATTCTGAAGAGATTCTATCTTTTTTGTAGTCATAATGTATTGGTTGAAGCTGTTCACGTTTGTCGATCATTAGAAAAAGTTTAATATTTTACTAATAAATTATAAATCTATTTCAAATATCTATATCAAATATATAAAATATATTTTAGAAAATCCGGACTGATCCTCCTCCGTTCTTTTGCGAATTTATTCAGATAGAAATGTGCGTGCCCTGTACTTCTGCAGTCACCTCTTGCAGTGATATTGCAAACGTGTTGCAGCCATGAGAAGCGCGATCGTAGGAAAAGTGAGTGGCAAGCGTTGTCAGGCAGATCTAATTTGTCTCTTCAAGGATGTCACATCGATTTAGCGTGATTTAAAGTCTGGCAGCGGATAAGTCTTGCACGAGCGTCTCAGTAGAAGAAAGATAAGAAAGGAAATAAAACACTTAAAATTAAAGCTTTTTAACGTCGTTGTTAAAATAATATTATATCTTAACGTAATATTTTAAAGTACAAGCCTCAATTTTACTTTGCACTGGTCTTCCATTGTTTCTAAAGACGGTTAAGCAAAAGTTGAACTCAGTGCAACTTTTTTGCACCAGTTTTGTCAGTGGAACATTAAACACTGAAAATATATAAACTGATTTTCAAAGTGAACAATACAACTTGCATTCAATTGTATTCAGTGTAGTACTAGTTTTCCCAGTAGAAAACTCTAATTGAATGATTGCGAGAAAAAAAACAGAGTATTTTAACACGAAGATTGCGCGCATATTCAAAGAACTGTGAGTTATATTTTTATGAAAGATTTATATTCTTTCCAAACGTAAAACATTAATTGGATTGTCAGCATATCCTGCGTCAGAATATTAAGTCCTAGCACTGTAATACGAGATTCGGAATTTAATCGGTGACCGTAAATCACACGAATGGCAAATGTTATGAAGTTGACAGTATGACAAAAAAAAACGAATATAACAAAATGCGCCCTCGCAGACTCCCGAGAATAATTTCTTCATTTCTGACGTCGTAAATCAAGATGACCGATTGGAGTGGGATTAGAGTGGCAAAAATAGATGTATGCTCGGGACGGCTGGCGAGAGATGAATAATGCTCTGTTTTTCCGGCGTTGAATATTTAAGATTGTTGAATATTCACGAAACGCGTGAAACGTTTCGGTGTGACAACACAAATTTACGTGTAGCATAATTCCTTGCTCGTAAAAGGAATATCTTAGCTGTACCAATCGCAAATGATTCCGAGGGATATGATTATCAAGTCTGAGATCTTGTTGTGCAGCGAGGCTTTTACTTGAATTTAACGTTTACTAAATATTTTAACGTTAAATATAAACTCTTCATAAGTTCGTTTCTATTACTCGCAATTGCTGAAAAACGGTAAATAAAGTTTTATTGTTTCATAGCTATTTTATATCAATTAAATACTTATGCATAGTCATTTGTGGCACACGGTTCAGAACATGTAATTACATATTCCAAAGTAATTTTCTCGATCGTGCTCATCGAAAGAAACTTAATGTGTTTCACGTACCACGTTAATGAACGCATATCGAACGTAAAGTACCGAGCTGCGGCCGACGTGAATTTGACATGGCCTATTCAAACGCTCCGCGAGCAATGTGATCCTCTAAATGCATTAAACCGCAATAATTAAGAGGCATGTTGACGATCGGAAAGCTGCATTTACGAACATCGATCGGTCTTTAATCCAATTTCTTTTCAGTGTGTATTAGATATGGAAACGAGTATGAAGAGAGTAGAGTTCTCCACACATAACTAGTTCCACGCACCTAACAAAATATTTTACGTGTACACAGCTACAAGTTATTGCATTATTTATACGTTTTAAAAGAGTTATATAAAAATGTTACAGCACTAATTCACTAATTTTCCGACACGCCTTTAATATTATCATTTATATTTATTTGACAATTATGCAATTTTCAAGAGTTCTCTTTGAAGAACACTATTTAAATGACACAAACACGTTAG